AGGTATTGTGCTATGTTAAAGGAAATATGCACTAGATCTTTTAGAGGAATTTGGATTCCTTGGTGCAAAACCAGTAACAACTTCAATTGATTATAATCATAAATTCAAAAAGAAAGTATAAGGTGATAAAGAAGTTGATACAACAAGATATAGGCAGCTGATAGGGAAATTACTGTATCTAACCTTTACAAGACCAGATATTTCATATGCTATTTAGACATTATCTCAGTTCATGGATGCACCGACTAAAGATCACTTAGCTACAACTCACAGGGTACTGAAATATTTGAAATCATCTCCTCGGCTAGGAATATTAATGAGTTCCAATTTAGATTTGAAACTTACTAGTTATTGTGACAGTGATTGGGTGGGATACCCAAATACAAGAAAATGTGTAATAAGGTAGAACATATTTCTTTATGATTCTCTGGTAAGTTGGAAATCTAAGAAACAACAGGTTGTTACAAGGAGCTCAACTGATGCTTAGTATAGGTCAATGACTTCAACAACCTGTGAAATTATTTAGATAAAGAGTCTTTTGGTAGATTTTAGATTTTATCAAGATAATCCGATGAGATTAGATTGTGACAATCAATCAACAATTCATATTAGTAGGAATCCAATATTCCATAAGCATACCAAACATATAGAGATTGCTTATCATTTTATAAGGGAGAAAGTGCTTACAAAGGTGATTGACCAATTCATGTTTCTAGTGATGAACTGATTGCAAATTTATTTATTAAGGCTCTACAACCAAGGCAGTTCTTTAGATTACTTGGCAAGATGCACATTATTAACATATACATACATCTTGAGGTGAAGTATCAATCTAATAAGAAGTTGGTGATTAAGGATCAAAGAGAAACTATCAACTGGTTTGAAGAACTTAAGAAGTTAAGAAGAAAGGAAAGGAGCACATGTGAATTACATGCTTTGTAATAAAAATACACTTGTGTTATTTATTTTTACTTTTACATTTACTGTTTACTAAATTATAAATATATCAATTAGTTATTTGGTTAGTTAGTTGACTTTTTAGAGTATGTATACTCTGTTGTACAACTTTTATTCCTTAATGAAAAATTGCTTGAAGCTTCCACAATACTCTTCATCTTCAATTTCAGTTTTTAACAAGATGTGAAATTATTTATTATCAGTTTATATTATTCAACCATTTTGCCTTTAGCCACCATGTCATTCTTTTTTTTTTTTAACATTCACCATATCATTTTTAGTATGATTATGTTGGAGAATTGCCTAATGTCCAAAACTTTACTTTTACATACTATGTCATTTCTAAATAACCATATAGATCGAATGATGGCAAAAAATGTCATTCTTGTACCCACTCGTTTGGACCCATCTTGACTCTTGTGCGTGACTCTAATATTTGAGTCCCATTCCGTCCCCTTTTCACCCTCATCTCGATCAATTTCATCCATTTTTCTTCTTTCCCTAAATTTTCTCCATCAATAGTTTTCTTCCTTTTATCCTCGTTCTCTCTTTCTAGCTTCTTTTCATTTCACCTTCCGCCCTCTATTCTTAGTCTTGACTTTACCCTTCTACTAACACTAGCTTAATCTGGACTTCAATGAAACTGTTGCTATCGTAGCCATGATTCCGCATCATGTTGTTATTTCACTCTCTAACGATTCCTGAAGCCTCACATCAACTCCCGTTTTGGAGCAGCTTGATTCATCCAAAACTTCATGTTGTTCAGAACATTCATAAAGATCCTAACTTACTTTCATATCACTCTTTAAATGCCCAGAGTTCCTCTTATTTTCTTCCCTTTCTCCTCCCCTCACACCCTCACACTTCCACCACTCTGGTTTCATCTATGCCAGATTGCTATGGCTGTTCCTTCCAACCTTTACATCAAGCATAGACCCTTTTAACTAAGTCCTGGTCTTTAAGGTGTCGTCGAGTTTGACACTGCTCACATCACTTCTTGTGATCCTTTCCTTCAAACCTACATAAAATTTCCCCCACTTTGCCCAGTCTGCTGGCCTCCCCATCCGCCATCCCGATGCAGCTCAAAGTTTACTTGGTTTGGTCCCTTTTTATTGTTATTAGGCAAGTTCTTCATAGTATAAAGCCTGTCGAATGCACTGGCATCCATCCCACTCCTCCCGGATTCGGCCTGATCAGCTAGATTACCTTTAAAATCTTCATCTGTGAGACCCACACTTCGTTCCATCCTATCCTTCTTTTGCTTCCCATCCTCTCTGCTTCTTATATTACCCTTCGTCAATTTCAACTGGCCTATGGTATAATTTCTCGACACTTGACCCCTTCTCCAAGACTGACAGTCCTGCCATGTCTTACACCGACCATCCTCCCTCATGTTGTTTGTTTTCTTTGCGATGACGCATGACTTGTATTATGCACCTTCCACAATCTTAAGTTTAGCCCCAAATGACAACTAATTTGACATGTGTCAAATAAAGTGCAAATAATCTTATTTGAAACTTTTTAAAAGCACATTTTTATTCAAAAAGAATAAAAAGTTAAAAATTAAAAAATAGATAAAAGAAATAGAAAAAATTACTGGTTTTTTTTTAATATAATCGAATGGCATCAGAATAGTAACCTATGTCTATAACAAATTTTAGTTTTAATTACACTTTTAGGCAACATATGTTTTTTATTTTATGCACACTTTTTATGTTGTGAAATCTTTTTATGATCAAGCTTATACTGCCTTTACATATTAATACAATGAACTAACAACAATTAACCAATAAATCAACATAAAATTAAAAAATTAATATAAAATTAGACTAATTAAACCCATATATGGTGAAGCTTTTGAATATGAGATTTGATAGTTTTTAAATCCTTCAGTGCATCTTTGAGATAAAACCTTATTGAGTTATTGGCCATTTTTATTTAATACTTACAATTTAACCTTCTAAAATTTTGTCCCATTTTACATTTTTTCTCTTTTGAGAAATTCCCTTTCACGCTTTAGTTATTAGTCTTTTACATTACATTACTCAATTACTTAAAGGGGTTACTTTTTCTTTCGTCTCTTTTTCTATATTCGTTAATTACTGCCAACTTTGGTTTAAATATCCTTTGTTTTTTCAACCTAATTCTTTCTAAAAATTCATTGCATGGCATTTGAATTTTCAACCGTGCACTAAAGTCATTATCAAATGATTCAAATCAAATATGACAAAATTTCCCTGGTCCTAATATGACACTAGCTAATTATCCTTTTCAATTACACTAGGTAAGGGAAGATGTACAAAATTATTAGCTTAGGGGCATCAACGTGTCAAAGGGTAATTGAACTAGAAAAGAGGGTGAAGACTCAAGTACTGTGACTACAAAGTTGACCACGGGGAGTGGAATTGGTGGTTAAGGTTTAACGAAGCGATTCTTGCGAAGGAGGAGAGCTGGAAAAGACTTTTCACATTCGTGGGGGCATGGGGCATATTCACAAGGGAGAAGAGAAATTGGAGCCAATCTCTAGCCAGTCCTAGTCTCCTTCCTTCATCCTACCTCCAGTTAAAGAACACAGGGAGAGATGCAATGGGCCGCTGCGGGGCCAAAGGCTGCTTCACCAATAATGCCGGCCTATGCCTAAAAATATTGATTCCAAGATGGAATTTAAGATCAGAACAAAGGGACAAAAAGTCTAAATTTTTATTCCTCTATTTAGCTCAATAAACCAAATTTACTATTCATTGTTAGTTAGGCATAATTTTATCACTTTAATTTCTCATTTAATTAAAAAATAATAATAATAAATATTTTTTTGAAGAAACAAAGGAATATTAAAAATATTTTTTATTATAATTTAAATATTTTTAGTCAATTTTTACATAATTTGATAATAATGTCTTTTAAACAATTTCAAACAAATTAAAATAGTTTCAGTTTTTTCTATCCCACTATCCAGACAAAAATTTTAAAATTAAATTTTGATTTCTCTCTCTTACTAAATACTGTCTATAACAACATCCAACTCCTTGCCATCTCAAAGAGTAAAGATGATATCAAGGTGGGTTTATTAATTTATTTATAGAACTCCAAAGTTAAAGGATTGAAATTGATTAAACGTATCTATAAATTAAAACATTGTATGATTTTGGCAACTTAAACCTAATTACGAGTAGGTAAATTAATTAGTTATTACATATTGTATTAATGATTTTTATGTATTATGAAACTGATTTTTAAGCATTGTATAACTTAATCATTATATTTTTTATTTTTAGGTATTACGTGACTGATTTTTAAACAATACTTAAGTCACATAATGTCTAAAAACTAGTTACACAATGTCTTAAAATTAATCATATAATACCTATCAATCAGTTACACAATACCATATCAATCAAACAAGCAATACCTAAAAATTAGTAACATAATGCCTTAAAACTAATCAAGAAATATTCAAAAATCAATTACATAATACCTAAAAAACACCAAAACTATTGAATTTCGTTTAATAAAATCAACAATTTCAAACAATACATCATTTTTTATTTAACAATATAATAAACTAATAAGCCTACCTGGCAAAGAATGCTAAAAATACTCAAAGATTTTTCTTCATGCATCACAAACCATTCTAAAATGCTTAAAAATACTCAAAACGGTCAAAAGATTTTTTTTATGTATCAAAAACTATTTCAAAATACTTAAAAGTATTTCTTTCTATCAAAAAAAATTCTAAAGTTAAATAATGGTTAAAAGTAATATCTGAACATTTGATTTATTAGTTGGTGTATAATCTTTTTACTTAAAGAGTAGGGTTTGAATCTCCCTCTCTCAATTCTGAATTATTTTCAAAAATAACTTAGCCATGAAGAGAATCCATAATAAAATTTCGATTTTATCCCGCCAATAAAAGACATTTGTTCATACACTTGTAAGATGCAAATAGGATTTTTTATTGGGCTAAGGTCCAATAGGAAAGTGAAATGGGCTTGTAACGTTTTACTACAATTAACATCGTCAATCAAGTAAACGTGGCTGTTTGATTTCGGTACGTGTAGTGTTTGAATGGAAGAGGCAGGAACAAAGAAGAGAAAAATGGGGGAGAGAAGAGCAGCAGATAACAAGAAAGCAACAACGACGGCGAAGTGGCCTGTTGTTAAACCCAAACTGAACCTCCAGATTAGGCGCCTAAAAGACACGGATCTCTTCACTGTACGTTTCTCTTTAATTTGACTTTTTAATATTTTTTTAATCTCCAATTTTGCTACCTTTTTTGTAATGCAATTACGAGATTATTCATTGATGTTCAGTTATTGGATTTGAAATTTGAATCGTGTTTCTGTTTTCATGAAAGGAAAGATTTGGTAATGCCTATAATAAACAGTGTTAATGATTGCAATTGTGCCCACTTCAATGTTATTCTTTTAAAGTCATAGTCCAATTGTTTGTTAAAAGCTTCAAAGTTCTAGTGTTTATGTATCTGGGTTCTTACAAGGGGTGAAATTAGTTAGAAAAGTGGATAGAACTGTGACTCTGGTTTAGATCTTTTGGCAGCTTTCATTTGGTCTAATAATGAGCTAAAAAAAGCTGATTTTTTTTCTATTTCTAATTGGATCATAAAACGTCTAGATCGAGTGTGTGTCAAGTATAACTCGAATTTGGTTCCGAATTCTGCCCGTGTATAATATCTTTGTGTGGACTTTGCTTTAAATTGAATTTGATTTTAGTTTGACAACCTTAACATACAAGACCCAAGACTTGAACTTTTTAGTAGAGAATGCTGTGAAAATCACACTTGCTAACAACATGATTTGTATCTTTATTATGCATTAAAATTTTTCTCTTGAATTCCGGCTCATATAAGTGATAGAAGGGAATTGCCTTTTGGTGGAATGTGATTTTGTTGAAATTCATGGATGGTAATGATTCTACTGAAGATATGCAGGTGCAGAATTTGTTCTCAGCTGTAGAATCAAGGGCATTTATTAAAGCTGCAGAGTCAATTGGTTTTGAACACCAAGGAAGTCTTGGTCCAACAAGAGGTGAAGCGTACCGAGACAATGACCGAACATCTGTCAATGATCCTGCTCTTGCGGATGCTATATGGCAGTCTGGACTCAGCAAATTATTTTCTGATATTAAAATTAGGGGGAAGGTTGCTGTTGGCTTGAATCCAAATATAAGATTTTACAGGTTCATTTAATCTGTTCTCTTAGATTGTTACTTATCTTCATGTGAATAAATAGCATAATTTTGGTCAGTTAATGCTAGATTTGCTAGCTCAGAAGTCCTTCATGAAGGTTAAAGAATAATTTTGCTGTGCATAGCTAACTTGCAAAGCTGCATATGTAACTTAATTCACAAAAGTAATATCTTGGTTGGTTTATAAAAGATTATTATTGACGTTGAAGGTTTCTCAATCAATTTTACTGTATGATTTGCTTCCTCAGTGTGCAAGGAATGCTGAACTTTGTTTAGGACTTCACAGTTTTTAGTATTTACCATGCAAAGAATGTTCCACTTCCAGGTATAAGGTTGGGCAGCGCTTTGGGCGGCATATTGATGAAAGTGTTGATCTTGGAGTGGGAAAGCGCACCCATTATACTTTGTTAATATATTTAAGTGGTGGTTCCAAAACCAATGGTAAAAGTGATTCAAGCAAGCAAAAGGATTCTGTATCAGAGCCTCTAGTTGGAGGGGAGACTGTCTTCTATGGTTCAAGGAATGGTGTTGTAGCAGAGGTAAATTTCTTTTCAATTTGTCTCATTTTTTATATTTTTTTCATATCTTTCCCAAAACAGCAATCCTCCCCTTTCATTTTGTTTTAATTTTTTAAAATACCTATTGGATTAGCTGTATGGCCTACTTTGGGGTATCCTGTGTGTATTGATGTAATATTGACTCTGCAGGTAGCTCCTGCTGAAGGAATGGCTCTCCTACACATTCATGGTGACAAATGTATGCTGCATGAAGCTTGAAATGTGTCCAAGGGCATCAAGTATGTTTTCCGTTCAGACGTGGTGTTTGCTTGAGGAGAAGCCATAGTTTCTGAAATGACAAAGCTTGGTGAGTTTTCTTCTGTGAGGTACAATAGTTGTAGCAACATCTTTTCTTGTTTGGCTGGTAACTGATACATGAAAGGTAAAAGTATATGGATCTATTATTCTATTCCCTTTTAGAAATTGCGATACATATCCTTGGATTATCCTCGAGTAACTAGATTTCTAGACTTTATGGCATGTTATCATGCCTGGGAACATTCTGTGACAGAAAGAAAACAAAAAGGAATATTCTAGGATAAGCCTTCTCCACAGGCTATTGGAGAACTTTGCAATTAGTAGCAACTTTTTTGAATTATTAAATGCTAATGTTGCTGCTAAATTATGGCTCATGCTATAAGATTTATCATAGTTTACTTTTTCTGCATTCTTACTTGATAGGGTTACCAGAGTGAGGGAGCATTCTTTCACATGGTTATTTATGTGCCTATCTTTTAATCTGAAACATACTTTCATCCTTCCAAGTTACAATTTTTTTTCTTTAATTATCACTTTCCCATCTATGCACTTCTCGATTCTTATTTGGAATTGCATTTTTAAAGCGGATATGCATCTTGCTCTAATTGTAATGCATCCTGGTCAGGGAAATGCCAGGCATTTTTGAAATCATGCTGACTCCACAAGCATAGCGGACAACCATATACTTCATCTTAATGCAGTTGAGATGATTAACAATTTTAAAGCATATTTTGACCTCTATTTTTCATGCCAATTGAAGCGATGTATATTAGTGATAGACTGTCATCTTGTGTTAACTTTATGCAAATGCTTTATCTGATAAGAATTTTAACATTCAATTTCATTTTCAGAGCTTTGTTGACATCTGGAAACAAACATCATTGCCATCTTCTTTGAGAAGTTGGACACCATTAGCTTAGTGAGTCCAGCTTCTCTGTGATTTTGATATTTAACTTGGACTCTGTATGAGGTGAAGATTGTTATGCTTATCTCGGTGAATGAGATAAATCTACACATTGCCATTACTGAGGCATTAGTGAATACAGAAACCAATTCTGAAACTTCCATTTAGAGCATTCGTTTGCGAGTAAAGCAGATAACAGAGATCGCGTTTGGGGATGAGGCATTACTTCCTCTAGCAAGATTATATTAGCCAACATGTTAATTCTCATTTTAATGATTTACAATTAGCAACATTAAAAGGCCTGTCTGTTTTCCCAGTCGGAGCAATGGGTCTTTTATAAACCAAAGTAGAATGAGGTTGGGAGAAATTTGAAAATGTGAACTATCAGCTAAATTTACTGTAATATTTTTGTTTTTGGATACATAATGTACCTTGAAACATACAATATGGTTAGTCAATGTTGTGCTGATAAGAAGGAAACATGCCTTTTGCTATATACTATATAGTGTATTAAGAAAATCAAGTTTATTTAAATTCAAAAGGACAGCGGGTCGTTATTAGCCTCATTCGCATAATGAAATATAGGAAAATGTCTCATAGCCGCTCTTTTTGTAATCTGTGTCAGCCTCAATATACCATTCGGCATTTCAATCTCACTTCTCCATTTTCAATCACCCCAACATTTCCAAGTTTCACCATCGATGCTGCAAATTCCTTGAAGAACAAAGTTTGATCCTTGGCAAATGATTCAACAATCCATCTTGTCCTGTAATCACTGATGATTGCTTGGTCAGATTCGAACACGCCTTTTCCTGCCAAGAGTTGTTTGTAGTAGTTATTATCAAAAGTTGACGCTGTAGAGTCCAAGAACCGTCCTGCATTCCGATCCTTGTTCGGTTTCAGGCATTTCTTTCTCAGAGTTTCTGTAAATTCACTGTTCAAACTAGGGTCGATGTCATGAAGTGAACTGAAATTATGGAGCCGAGCTTGGAAGGAAGAACAGTGTGAGAATCCTAGAGTGTGACCTCCAGATAGAGCCACCAAATCCTTGACCCCTAAGCCTCTCTTAGCAAAACTTTGAATGAGTTGTGAAACGTTGATAGTTGGCGCTGGTAAGTTAATTGGTCCGGATGCACTGGAGACTCTTCCATCTTTCCTTCCTTCAAGTACATTCCAGAAGGGGCCTCCGGACTGGAGAGAACAAAAACAAGAAGGAAACATATCAAAATGCGTTGCAAGGTTAAGCGACTTACATAAAGAGTTTCAAAATTACCATTGCCACTACATCTCTTGCTGCAATGGTGATTATATCAGCGCATGAAACTGTCTGCGGACATGCCCGTTCAAGCTTGGCTTTCGCATCATCAATCACGTAGAATGCTCCAAGAGAGATGTTGGGAGGGCCATCTTTCTCTGCTTGATTTTGTGGGGTTGAGTCTAGCAACACTGATGCATCGCACCCCTATCAATTTTTCGACAAACCAAAGAAAACTTCAGACACCCAATAGAAAATATCAAGCTAAAATAACTACACGTTGACGGTTGAATTGACTACAATGACACACCCTTATGAAACAGTCATGAAAGAACATCCTGAGAAATCGAGCTGGGACTTTAGGGTCATGCATGGAAGCATTGCGTACAGTGTCTAGTATAATTTTCTCAGCTTCAGGACATGTTTGATCATAGTAACGAGCATCCAGCGCTGCCTTTGACTGTGAAACTTTTATGATCAGCACAAGGAAAACTATCGGAAGAAAGAGTTTGTTTAGTGCAAAAGTAGCCATTTTCTTTTTTTGGTATTGGATGAAGATAACGGGTAGAAGGAATAAAGGAAAAATGTGAGAGATGATGAAGGATTCATGGGAGTAGGGGAGTATATATAGAGTGGTCATGGCAACAGAAATGTTTTAAAAAACTTCAGTAAGTATTTCTGTATGCTTTAAAGTCACTCATAACGGGAGGAGAATGTAGAAAATTGACGCGGTACTGGTGTACTTAGAGACCAAGTTTAAATTTCCACCTAATTATAAACTCTTAAGTCGTACTCGATTAATCTTTCTGAGGAATATTATATAACTAAATTGACATGTTTAATTGTATATTGGTTGATTTATTTAAATGAAGGTTTTCTACTTTCTACTTTGAGCATTGGTTTCTTATTGTAAATACGAGTCAAAAACCGTGGTAGCAACTTCACGGAAGTTGGCTTATACCTATCACGTTGGTTAATGAAATGGGAGCAGTCGGTGACAGAGAAAGCACACAAAAGAAACAAAATTAAACTAGTACTGTGATCTCTTTTCATATGAGGAATAAGGCGTTTGTTGTACTGTTTGGCTTCTAAGAGAGCAAAGAACTGGAAAAGGAATCCCAAAACTTTTGACCACAAAAAGTTGGAAATGGTTTAGCCCTTAATGCAAGCCAAGGTGGAAGATCATGCCACGTTCTGTAAAATGCAAAATGTGGTGTGTGAAACTGACCAACCTGACGTTGGAAGCATATGTGGACTTCAAACCCTAAATTAGGAAAGGTATCTGGGATTGACCACCTTCAAAGGTGTTCTGAAAGATAAAAGTCAAAATACTTAAAAGAAGTATCTATATTAAGATATTTTTTAATTTAAGTTTTTATTTAAAATCATAATATTTTAATTTATTACTTTTAAAATTATTTTAATTTAATTTTTTAATATTTTTTATTTAAATTGAAAGTTACAGTACTAATGCCATCGTTGATATTGAATTTATTCTTCAAAAAAGCACTGTTAAAATTTAAATTCAAAATCTTTAACAAACAAAGTAATATCTTTATTATTACATCTAAATTTTTACATTTAATAATATCTCATTTGAATTTTTTTTAATTTTTAATTTTATAAAATTACGTTTTTTTGAAACCTTCTTATACTCTTAAAAACCATAATCATAAAAACCCTTTGAAACATTCTTCTCAAATGACATAATTTTATAAAAAAAATTAAAAAAGAGAAAAAGATTTCAAAATGACGTAACTTTACAAAAAATAAAAAAAAAGTTAAAAAAAAAAGAAAAAAAGAAAGAAGAAAAGAAATTTAAGTAAAAAATTATTAAATATAAGAGTTTAAATATAAGGTTAAAACATTGATTTATTTGTTAAAAATTTTAAATTCAAATAATAATAAATATTTTTTTAAAAATAAATTATCGCATATTAATATAATCAAGAATTTATATTTATGAGTGATGTGATAGTACCATATCATCATTACAATGACGTGACATGTAAAGAGATTTTAATAATTTTAAAAAAATTAAATTAAAATAATTTTTTAAATAAAAAAATTAAATTTAAGATAATATCCTAATACATACACTTTTCAAATATTTTGATTAAAGATAAATGCTGTGTTTGTGTTTGGAAAAGTAAAAAAAGCAATGTGCCTCCAAGTTATTAATACCTAAGGCCACTGTCTTTTCCATACTAAATATTCAGTGAAAAGTAACTCCTCGAGTTTTTACATGCCCCAATAAAAGGTGGTGTATTCTTCAAACTAGGACTATAGAGCAACCGAGGGTAACCTGATTTCAATACCCATGTAATTGAAAGATTAGAGGTTGAGATTGGAGAGTGACCTTCTCATCTTACGGACTAGGGAATTATTAATGCAACCACAACTAACCCAATGCCAAAGCCTTCCAAATTATTGCCATTTAAATGAGCAAGGACAAATCCGAATTTTGGAATCAAATTTCTGAGGGGAGAATATCCTTTCTTTCATTGTTGCCAAGTGTAAATGGGCGAGAATATCCATCAATAAGGACTTTGTTCAAACGAATGATAGTGATCATTCCCTTGATAATAAAAGCAAATGGAGACATTAAAGAGAGCCACGTGTCCAGCACTGAAAGAAGCTGGTCCCCACAAGAACAGCTCGGAGGAGGACGCGTGTCAGCAGGGGCCAGTCTAGTCTGCCCAAAAAGCAGACCTAAAAAGTTGGGTTAAAAGTTAGGGCCATCCAGGCATCCACCACAAGGCAGCCTTCTAGTACTAGAAACGCCAACGCAATGCAAAAGATCAGCATCAGAAATTTTGGTTTCGGTGGGATCCGCATCCCTAGGTACACGTGCCTCCATCGCGTGACAATAACGTGTGGCCCACATTAAACCGATCGGCTTCGTCCACGGGCCACCACCACCCTTCTCTAGCCTCTAGTCCTCAACTGTTCTTGTTGACCCACCATTCAGAAAAGGACCCACTTGTTATGGCCCCACGCGTCCCCAGAATATGAGACCCACCATCCACGTGCACATCCCAATATCACGTGACCCCACCGTCAGTGGGACGAGAAAAGTTTTCTCCCCAAAAACCATTTCCGAGGAGCAAATGGATAAAAAAAAGGGTATATAATAGACGGGCAAGCAAAAGATTGAAACGAGGCGAGCAAAAGATTGAAACGACAAAAGCCCTTCGCTGTTCTTTGCAATTTCATTTGCCCTTTAGTCCTACAATTACAAAATATAAAACAAAAAAAACCATCCTAAAACCCTAAACTCTAAATCTGTATGATCACAGTCAAGAAGCCTAACCTTCTCCTTTTCTTAAGGCTTTGAACATGGCCTTTGGTGATTTGCAGGACGACCCAAGAATTGAAGCTCTCTCTTATCAAGAATCTCCAAAGAAAAATCCCTAAGCATCTGCGTTGTACTATTACTATTACCATTACTACTACTGCTGACCCCAGCCCCGCCTGTAGTCCCTGAATTAGAACTGGGTACACCACTCGAACCCATCAAGCCCACGCTGGAACCCTGGACCTCTGGCTGCATAGCAGACACAAAGCTAGATATTGGTCGACCTGCAACGTTGAAAAACGGTGTTGCAGTTGCTGGAATCGCCCATAACTGTGCCTGGTTTGAAGCAGGCGCGCCACCAGCAGCAGCAGGAAGTACACCAAAAGTACCCATAGGCCATAAAGGAACCAACCCTTGCGAATTCACATTGACGCTGCTAAAAGTCACTGGCGCAATTGGTGCTAACCCTGAAGAAACTGAACTTTGATGCTCATTAACGTCAATAAACTCACTATTTGACGGTCTTTTCCTACGTTTTCTTGGCAAGTCGCCATCTTGTTTTCCTGAAGAAGTTGGTATCTTGAGACTGCCATTAACAGAAACAGCAATAGCAGGGACCGTGCCTGTGCCTGTGGCTTCAATAATAGCTGGTTCCGCGTGCTCTAATAACCACCTGATTGTTTCACCATCGGACTTGTGACCCAGTTCTCTGGTCAGCTGGAAAATCCTGGCCGCACAAGTGGCAGGCATGCGGATCCTACGGCCACGGCCTTCTACTTTCGTATGACGGTCTTTTGATGGGCGTTTGGGGACAAAAGAGCGGTTGATTTGGGCAGCAGGCATGACTGGAACGAGGCCATGAACGAGCGTCGAGTTGGTAAATTCTCGTGGCTCCGTATCTGTTAAGTCCTCTTCCTTCATGGGTTGGTTGGGGTCCATTACGGTTGCCTCTGAAGGTGAGAAACTTGGAGTGGTGTTATTGCTTTGTTGTTCTTCTTCTTCATTGATGATGATGGTGGCGTTGTTGTTGATGCGCTCGTCGATTTCTTCTATGGTTTGATTTTGGTTGCACTCCATGGTTTACGCAGCAAAAGGATTTTTAACCTATCAACAAACCCACAAAATATTAAGGAGGATTAGCCTAAAAGATGAGAGGATTTTCTTCTAAAGCAGCCTAATTTCTAGTGGGGAATATAAGTTGACTGGGTTTTGAATTTAGCCCTCTTTGCCTTCCCTATCATACTGTGACAGACAGATTAGAAAGAGTGGGACATAGAATAGAGATTAAGTAATTAATTAAAAAAAAGAAAATTAAATAGAAAGCTGAAGAGAGAAAGAAACAAACCCTAAAGACGCAGCCCCACCTTCTTTACAAGTTAGAGAACAGAGGGACCCAAAAAGCGGAGTATTTATTTATAGAGATTAATGAATCGACGGTTGGGAATATTTCTCTTCAAGATTACTGATCGGAGATGGTGACACGTGGTAGGTACTTTTTTGATAACATAATTAGGTCAAAATTGGTAATTTCTCCTTAAAACTGGTCTCGTTTTTTGTGGGGGTTTGAAAAGGGATGATATTGTTCTATAATGTTTACTTCGACAAATAATCTCATAGCCACTGATAAATGCTGCATCATATAACGAATTGATTGAATTTCTTTATAAAGTTTTAACTGGAAGTAATGACTCCTTAGGGTTCAAATTTCAACCCAAAAAATGCTCAACCCAATCGTACTCTAGTCTTCTCTATGGATAAACACAATGGAAAAGGACTTTTGACAAGGGATTAGCTTTCTTTTGGGAAGGGATTTTATTCTACCAAGTCCCAACCCTTGCAAAAATGATTGACCGTTTATGAGTTGAGGGACTACGACAAGTTCCATGGCATCAAGCACTTCTGAGAAAACAAAAACGCATCACCAGTCACCCAGTACGATGAGTGGTTTGTCCACACTTGGCAGCTTATCTTGTTCAGCACAGTTAGAATTTGCAGTCCAGGCAGGGGATGTAATCCAATAAGTTTAATTGGATAGAAACAACAAAACCTCGACCACATGAATTTCTTTTCTCATTAGTAATTGACATTAATTAGACGTGTTTAGTTTGGGTTTGGGTAGGACAGTTGCAACAGGAAACACCGTACCCAAGAAATACTAGTATTAAAATTTTCACGTCCACTAATAGGGGCCTTTGCTCTGAATTTAGTTTGAGAAGAAGAATTGTACCTGTACCAGTTCACATATGAGGATTTGTGCAAATATTCAGTTGATATGGGAAGGCTGCCCATCTTTGGACTAAATGCCAAAAAGCCATAATCTGTAGAATCACTTCGAATGTGCCAAATCAAAATAACAAGATTACATGTGAGAGCCCTTCGAGGGATGAGATAATATAAACTAGCCATTCTTTCAATGCTACTATTTAGCACATAAGCCAAAATAAAGTCATTAAATCCGTGACCAGACGACATATCTTGCTCTGTCACGACAATTTCCCAGTTCTCTTTCCTTTGCACTTACCTAGTTTAAGTTGTCAATTGGCCTTAATTAGCAAAACCGTTCTGGTGTAGCAGCAGCTCTAGCCTTCCGACTATAAAATCTTCGATACATTGAGTCGACTTTAGTGAGGTAGTAGGTATCTGGTAATAGGAGGCTACTGTCCTTGCTTGTGACAAAGTCCTTTGCTCCATACCGCTGCTCCATTAGCTTCATTGCGTCGACTAATTTTTCAGGAGGAAACTGCAAGAGAAGGGTAGGAAATTTATTTAAACTATTTCATCATACCCCAAAAGCAATGAATAACAATAATCTGAAACAGAATACAGATCGGACAAAGAATAAATAGGATAGAACCTAAAAATCACACTATCATTACAATGATTTTTCTTGCTGATTGCTAAAATCAAGCCTGAGTTGCCTATAACTTCTACTAAATGTGCCTTTTCAGCCTTCGGAATATCTGATAAAACGGACAATTTTCACTTCCCAGAAAATAAATACAAAGGAGTAGTTTGATTATTTTACTTAATTCCTTCTGCTTTAAGTGTTTATCTCCTGCTTTTTAACTTGATATCCCAAGAAATGATTATGCAAGCATGGAAATTCCATGCTGAAATTGCTCACTTGAAATTCCAAGTTGCATTTTCAGTGGAAAAAGTAAAAACGTAATAAAGCAGAAATGCAACAAGGTGCTGGAATAATCTACATCTGGTAACAAAAGGAAGTACTCTATTCTACCATCTTATCCCACCTTATTACAGATAAGTACTTCTTGACCTTGAAATCAAGACAGGCATAAGCTGAAGCTGGTGAGCATAGCAGAGTAAGAGGAACTAATAAAAAGAAATACCTCGTGTCTCAATTTCAACTTTTCTGAAACATTCATCAGTTTTGCAATATTCAACAAGTTGAAAGGATGTTGACCATCTTGAAGTTTGAGGGAGAAAATTGTGGCAGTTAAACCACTCCCATATGAGAACATTACTACCCGTTTGCCTGCCTAAAAATAAATGAGTACATTTATGCTCAAGAACAATTTAAACAAGAAAACCGGATGCTCAAAAAGTTGATTGGAAAACTACTTCAACAACACCATTATAGATTCTTACCAGTGATGTATGCTTGTTGTGAAGAAGGGATGCAAATGCTGCATAAAGAGATGCAGTATACATGTTACCAACTTGTTTTGGTAATAAGGTGGATGGTTGCACCATTGAATCATATAGAGGTTTTGCTACTTGTTGACTTGCCTGTATATTTAACCAAAAAAACAAAAACTGTGATCAGTTGGTTATGAGTTGGTAGAACAAATTTTGATAACACTGACAGATTCATAAAATGACCTTTTCAAGATCTCGACTCTGATAGCTTTCATCATTGGATAGGCCTGAAAATGGGGTTAGCTTCTCTTTTGCACCCTCATCAATATAACTGCTTATTAACACAAATGCAGAAAGTAATTTGAATTTATGAGTATGAATGAAATAGAAATGTAAAATTTAGGAAGGAGTAGAACATGCACTAGGGTAAGTTAAGTGCCCTTTAATTAAATCTCCATGTATATAGACATAAAACATTACATGAAAACTATGCTCCAAAACACTTACTAAAAAAGATGAAATAAGGGAGGACATTTATACAAAAAAACATACACAGGAGGAGCAAAGTGACATACGAACCTGGCATTCCTTAAGAAATCATTGAAGAACAGCCGAGCAAAACTCTTCTGAACAAGCTGCAGTCAGAGATCCAGAGAAGATATAAATAATCAAGCTAGAAAAAAAATTAATCAAATAAATTGATCAGAATTGCAAACTTCACTACCTTATTATAAGGAGAATGAAACACAAAATAATCAGCATCTGAAATTGAAAATGGCCTCCCCTGTAGTTTCTCAAACCTATAAATAGTAGAACAAGATGAATGTTTAGTGGCACAGACGGAAAACAGAAGACTGCATTTGTTGATGCAGCAGAGACTTACTTCTCATAAAAACGTTTGTAGCACAAATCAAGTGCCATAAGATAACAAGTTTGAGACAATTTTCCATCTACAACCTATAAGAGCAAATAAAAAAGGGCAAAGGATAAAAGCAATGCTAAATCTACTATATCAGCGCACAATCAAATTCAAAAGTACTGCAATATATCACAAAATCTGCCATCTTAATTATTGAATAAAATGATTGAGAGGATAGAAGGTAGTATAACTGGGTATTCACTTGCAAGATTTGGCTTGTAAAAATCATAGGCATGTGACATATGACTTCCCCTGAATTTGCTCTCAAAAGCAATAGGTGCATTTGGCCCGACCAGCATGGCAATTGCAGCTGCGCCTCCAGTAGGCCGAGCTGGCCCTTCTGCATATACCTGCAACATGGATTGTTGTTTTGAAATATCCTCAAATAATGACAACGAACTTGCTAGAAAAGAATATGGAATTGATACCACATGACTGATAGTCAGAAAAATTGCATTTCATTTAGCCTCTTGAGAATTTTGGCTAAACCTTAAAAGACATGTTTCTTGAGTGTTTGAATTGCCTAAAGGATTGAATGGAGTGAAGGGGATAAAAGTAAAACTGAACACTATTGTTCTTTTTGCTGAAAAGTGCATTTTTGAGCTGGCAAAATAATTGGAAATTGGCACATTATAAAAGCTATGACTTCACTATCTGGCACTCTAATTCTGACCACAATAGATGCACATTTTAGTGGATATAGCAGCCAGAGTTATTACCTCCATGAGTCAATTATGTATATGGTCCTGCTTGCTCTAGTTAGATTTCATGTGCATATGCCATTCACCAGAAGCATGTATGCATTGAACAGTCAAATTTTGATATCCCCAAAATTCATTAAATGATGATAAAATTATGTTTAAATTTGCTTTGAGATCTTGATCATTTTGGGGGGTGATCTAAGACTCATATCAAGAGTGCTCTTTTGTGAAGAAGAGAATAAACCAGGAACTTTTTCCTTTTTCCTTGAAAAGAAAATAAAACAAGGAGGAAGACTAAAAATGAAATGTAGAGTATTAACTCCAAGGATATCATACCGCACTGTCCGTGCACACAACCAGCCCATAGCGCCCATCCCATGAACTACTTTCCACCCAGTTTACACAATTGAATAAAGCTGCAGTTCCCCCATAGCATGCATTTGTTGAGTCAACTCCTTCAATATCAGTGTTACCACATTCCTGTTTTACAAATAAATATAAGAAACTTGCATTTATTTAATTGCAGAGAGCAAGAGGGGAGAAAGACATATCATATATGCATACATTCATACATATATGTATATATATATAGAAATGCTCCATCTGCACATGTTTAATAAATACGAGCCTTCTTTTCCTATGCACTTCAATCATGTTCTAAAAAAGTGTAGAGAAAACCTAAATTAAAGTGCCATGTTAATCCTTAAGAGGTAATAATTGCTTGCTTGCTCGGGCCACTGTAAGCTTAAATAGGTAAAATTGATAATACTGAAAATATCAATCTCAACACAGTAGTAAACATAAATATTGTAGTTGAGTTGCTTAGTTATCCACCCAATTCAGGCGTTTCGCTTAAAGCAGTAGCCAACTGTGCACCATATATACCTAGCTTTTTCTCATACAATAATGTAATCTAGAATTACAAAAATTAAAAAAAAATTGAAGAAGAAGAAGAAAATACCTCAAAGATTTGCATCAGGAAGGTCTTGATGGACTTGCTCTTGTCAATGACGGTCTCACTGCCAACTTCTAAGCGTCCGATTTTAGTTGGATCGATTTCATATTTCTCAAGCAGTGAGGTAACAACCGTCAAACTGAAAGCAAAAGAGGGAACAAAATCATAGTACCAACTACCAACAAAAATTTGCAGAAGCTACGGTTGTAGTAAAAACTAAAAACACCAAGAAGAGTGGCATTAATTATAACCTCAACTTGTTAATAATGCATTTGTAAGCAACTAAGAATCCAATAACAAGGGCGCTCTAAACAAGAATTAAACTTCGCTTTAAGCTGAGTTCAGCAAAAGGAGAAATGAAGGCATGATAAATAAATGAAAATGAAATAACCTCATTGAGATAACATCTTCCACTTCTGTACAAAACGCCATGCAATCTTGTCCAAGCCCAATGGTGTATTTTCCTTTGCTGGCACCATCGTGTGCCTCCAATGCTTCCTATAATATAATTTTGGTAGTAATAACCAATATTATTACATTTCGGTTTGATCAGCTTAATCAAATAAAATTCCGAACAAAACCAATGATAAATTAAATCACTACCTGCTGGATACAAGTAGGTGGGAAGTAGATATCGATGGCCAGAATTCCTACGCTTTCGGGATGGGAAGCCATTTCAGTTCAAGGTTCTTGTTTGGACACCGAGAAAACGAGAGAGAAGAAAAAGAAAAAACACGAGAAAGATTTCTGATGGATTCGAAGGAGAGTGCGCCGGAGCGAAGCGAAGCTAAGGAAATAAAAAAAAAATTAATAAAATTGGTACCAGTGTTTTTGAGAGATATTTACAGGGGATGCCATTGTGGAGCGTGGAAAGGTAGATGTAGCTAATTCAGTAACATCCCCTTATGAACCTCAACTACCACCTTTTCCAAAGGAAAATTCCAACCATCATTTCATTTTGCCCATGTGATCTCCGCCAGTGACCGAGTGACGTGACTCTTTCGTCGCCACCCCCCCAGCCCCAGACTCTGTCGTTTTGTCTCCCTTCTCAGTTCTCAATTCTCGTGGTCCAAACCTTAATACCAGTACGGTGGTACTACCTACTTGTCCTTCCGCTTGTTCTCCCAAAAGCGATTAGTGGATTGGAAATAAATTTATTGCAACCAATATTCTAACACTTAATTTTACCTTCTCTGTGCATTACATTTGTAATCAAATGTAAGTTCAACGGTAAAGATTAATTGAATCGAATTCATTCGTATTAATTAATAAATTAATTATCAAGTTATATTAAAAAGATGTATGTCTAAACCATGACTTCTTTTTTTTTCGTGCTCGTTATTGATCCGAGCTTTGTGGAGTGATTGTAATCACGAGGCAAGAGCTAGTATAAATTCAAAAAATGAAAAAGGAATCGTTGGCTGGTTGATTCCAATTTCTTTGTTCTTGCTCTGTTCCTCGGTTTCTCTCTCTGGAAGTTTATCTTTGATCCTTGTGAGCTTTATTTGAGTTTTTCTTCAAAGCAAAAGTCGTCTCACCCATGGCCTTGGTCAATGGCGTACGTGAACTCGATTTCTTGTGAATTTACATGAAGTTTCTGGTCAATAACCCTTATTTGTTTATTTTTTTCAAAACGGGGCATTGTGTGTGAAAATTTTGTAAAATCAGTGTTGTTCATTGTTCATATGACCACTCCATTTTATAATCGGAACAAACCTCATTAGCTTAAGGAATTTGCCTTGCTAGCTATGACCAAAAGAATTAGAGTCTGTATATATACATGCAGTCGATTTATTGTGATCTAACATGGGATAGTAGTTTATCATACTAATAAGTAGCTGATATAATAAAAATCTCTTAAAGCTAGGTCTTACGTGATTGACATTGACTAGAACTAGTGTTCGCTAATAGATGCAAGCATTAAGCTCATGAATCATGTGGACACTGAGTGACATACATACAAGCTTGGTAGTGTTGATATGACTTCATTATTGGAATTATATCTGGGTTCGTCAGGGTTGGGGGTTGTTTATGTATGACTATAGATTTGTTTAGAGAATGGATGTGGACTTGTCGACCCAAAAACAGGAGAAACAAGATTTTTTTTATCAAACACTCTAGTCAAGCCTCAGACGCCAGGGAGTATTTAATTTTGGGAAAGCCGGATACAATACATAATTGGAAATGGATTGACTGTAAAGCAAGCGTTTTGATGTGTTTGGAGGCTAGTTTTGCTCCCATGGACAGTTATGTCGAGTATGAATATTGAGTTAGGCAAATCCATGACTCATAATGGATCCACGATCAATCCCTCCCAGAGTACAAAGCAATATGGAATATGGGTGCATCCTTGACTTGCTCTGCAGGACCAAACTCTATGATGAAGCTTTGGTCCTTCGGTGCTGATAAAACTATGCTTGAAATACAAAGCAGCAGCAGGTTTGTAGCTTTATCCCAAAAAACGTTACTAGACAATTTCCTACAACATGAGTCTGATGAGAGTTTTGTGGGAGTGATTGTTCACTAGTACCTGGTGAAGAAAATACGTTGTGTGTGGTTAAGCTGAAGACTGAGCCTTCTGTTTAGCAAGAGTGTAGCTTCTTCACCTGTTGCTAATAACGTCTTCCTGCCATTTTTACTTCATTGGCAAGGCATCTAGGATTTTCTCAAATCAAAAAATGATGGTGAACTTTAAGACTAGATGCAAGATACAGTTGATAAATAGGTTAAGCATCAGCTGACCCTCTGAACAGAATCCATTTAATAGGCTTCTGCATTTCTCACAAGTTATGGTCTCATTTGAAAATATATAGTAGTACTAAAGAAGATTACAGTTTTCTACTGACTTTTTGCATCTGAAAATAGAGATGCAATACTTCAAGCTCTTTAAGCCTGCCTGTTTTAGCATTAGAAATCAAGTGCAGCAGTCCAGCTTGTGAAGGTAGCTTAGCTGATGCAGACTTTCACTCTTGTATGAAAGTTGTTTCCACATTTATTTTAAAGCAACAATGTTTTGGACGGTTGATTTGATTTATCGGACAGCAGTATATTTTTTAATCAATTAGTTCCAGGTGCTGATGCTAATCTTACACACACATCTGTAAAACCACTCGGACAAGTCTAATATGAGCTAGGATGGGAAAGTAATTTAGATTCTGGAGATTTTGGAGGTATAAAGTTTTGAAATAGTCTTCTTCTATAGTGAGTCAAATTTTGCTTCAATAAATTAACCAATAATGTAATGAGGAGGATGCAGTTGGTTTCTACTGTTTTCTGAAGTAGAATTATAATGTACAAACTGTCATTAATCTGGATTTAGTGCTTTACTCCAGTGTGAAGGAGTTCAAAGCTGAATGGCACAAAAACAGAACAAAAGGAAGTGAGCAGAGGACAGATTTTGGGACTGAAACGACCATCATGTATATCCAGTTTCTTACATTGTTCTTATCAAGTATAGCTTTTCTCTCATTGAAATGTGCATACAAGAATACAATAATGAAATGAAAATGCATATTTAATGTAACATCATCTGGTGGCGATTCTGACCATATAACCTTAAAAATAAAAATTCAGGGTATGTACCTCTGTTCATCTGGCAATTCCGATTCTGTACTTAAACCTTTGGCTTCAATTTTGAGTTGACTGCAGTTTTTTTGAATTTAGAGCTTAAACTTCAAAAGTTTTCTGATTTAGAGCTGTGTATCTCCACCGCTCCTTCTCCACAAAGTCTGCATCCAGAAACTGAGCAATGAAGGCCCAAAGCTTATAAATGTCCTGAAAATTGGCTAGGAATCCCAATGCAGCTGTAACTACTGCTATTCCCATATCATTTTTATCTTTTCTCTTGTTTCCATCCAGACCCTTGGCTTCATTACTTCTTCTCTCAATGACTTTGTCCTTCTCTTCTTGATACTTGTCTGCAAAACATATATGGTGTAGGAACCCATAGCTGAGAGAAATGTTACTCCGATCCGCGAGTTTCTGTACAAGAACGGGTTCAACTTTTTCTCCCTTCCAATCAAATACATTGAATGCGATTGCTGGTCCCCGATCAAATTTTATTTTTGGGCCATATATTCTAACTAGGGGAATCCCCTTTGTGTTAGGATGCTGGAGTTTCAACAGAGCATTAACAAGCCAATTGATGAGGCACCTTGCTCTATTACTAATTGTTACCAGTCCTAATGAATCCACCTGATCCAAGCCCCTACATTCAACCTCTCCTTTCTGTTTCAGATAATCCTCTTGAATTATATCAATAGCCTTCTCTGATTCTGAAATTTCAGTCGTTTCCAAGCCTTTCAGTTTTTCAGCAACATCTGCACGTTGAATCTCATAAGTTTTCCCCTCTTCAAATCTTCCAGATTGTGAAGCTTGGACAGGAATAGGGCCTGAGATGGAGCTTGGCGTAGCTGGTTTATCTACTAGTAAGTTGGGCTTAGATGTCTGTTCAACTTCAGAGTCGGTGTCGGAAGATTCAGTTACTGAACGAAACAGCTTCTCAGCGGGGACAAGACCTACCATCCCTGAACTTGTGGAAGTTTCCAATACCGAAACGGTTGATTTCTTAGCAAAGAGGCATGCAAATCCTGAAGGGTTTTCTCCAAAAACCTTGTAGAAAGAACAAATGAGGAAGTCCGGACGAAAGAGTGAGAGGCCAAAGCTGTCCATGTCTTTTGGTCCCAATGCACACGCATCAATCAACACATGCCACCCATTTTCCTGCGCGATGCTCATCCAGAGGTAGGGATATCTGGCTCCAGTCATCCTTGAATGAAGCGGGAAGACAAAAAGACCTCTTTTTTTGTTGTTCTTTTCCTTGCTCTCAACCATTTTTCTCAGTTTTGATGACTGAATTCTCAGTCTTGGCCATGAGAATTCTGCTGACATCACTCTAGCCCCCTTTTTCTCGGAGCTATTGCTCATGGCTTCAATTGCCTCACTCTCGTAATCATAGACTGTTAAAAGCTTCCTATTAGACTGGAAGGGGTAAGATTCTGCAAGAAGTTTGAAAGCTGATGTCTTATTCGCGGTGAAAACCATGCAGTAATCATTTTCTGGAACATTAAGAAAAGTCATGATCCTCTTCCTGATCGCAGATTCCAGCTCTGATGCTGGTCCACCATGAAGTAGCTGTGTCTTGAGATTCCCTGTCTTGTAAGACACACCAAAGAAGGGAATATCCAAAATTGGAGGAGGTGATTGTGGTGGCACAGGGAAGGAAGAAGAGGCAATTCGATATGTTGGAGACTCGTGTTTTTGTAGTTGGGAATAGGAGAAGAGGCCGATGCCAAGATAATCAAGGCAGGTATGGTTGGAGAGCGAGAGATGATAATATTCTTGGGCTCGTATTTGGTCGACTTGATAGGAGTCAGAGTACTGTGGATAAGCTTTGCTGAATTCAGCAAGCGATTCTTGCACAGATGGAAGAGATTCATGATTGGTGAATTGGGTGTTTGGGAAAATAGAGGAAGTAGTTTTCGATGCAAAGTCACGGCGATAAGCTGCAGAAGTGCTTGTGGGTTTGGAGGCTTTGCTTTGAGGCTCATGTGCGCTGAGGAAAGGGGATGGGCAGCAGCCATGGAGGCATACTTGCGATAACTCTTTTAGGCAAGGGGATTGCGTTTTTCTGTTCACTTCCCTCATTGATCTTGATATTTTCTCATTGGTTTCTCCTTCTCCTCCCTTTTCTTTATTGTTGGCTTCTTCCAAATCAGCTCTCATTGTTTTATAAGCACTATTTACACCCTGCAAATGGGTGTTTTAATTTGTTTTATGTGCTACTTGTTTTATAATAGACGGGGGAGGTTGATGAGTCAGTGTGAATGAAGACCCAGTCACTTGTCCAAGTTGACCTCTTCTCCCCTCTGTTTTGTAGTTGGCTACCACATGTCCATACTTGAAGGTCGTTATCCCTCATTTACACCACCCCTATCAACCGCTTGATCATCATCATCATCATCATCATCATAAACAGTTAATGCTACAAATCAGTGAAAGAGATCAGCCATGGAGGAAATTCACGTGTGCCCAAAAAATGAAACAGGGTGGTCTTGTTCATACAAGATCATATCTCTGAAACATATAGAACCAACGGTGGCTGTCACATGATGAGGGCCATTCTCCCAACAGAGATTTCGGTATCTTTTATTACTTCCTTGAACGGTAGAGGCGGGAAACTGAAAGCAACAACTGTTAGTGGACCACAGAACCGCCTTTAATTCTGCCAGCATTATTGATGCTTATTGTTAGCAGAAAAAGCCTCTTTAGAGTGCTTCTAAGTTGCTTCAAGCTGAAGGCTTTGAGGTCCTAAAGAGTTTTGGCCCCATTTCTTTGCATCGCTCTCTGCTTCAGTCCAAGTGAGTTTCTTGACGGATTGTGACTTTGGGGTGCACAAAAACAACATAAAAACGTCCATCCCCAAAAACCCATTGAACCAAATCTAATCTAATTCTTATCAGAAAAACTTATCAAACTTCTATTTTTGTCCCTCCTTCTGACCTTGCGATCGTTATATTCAATCAATTAGCTTTTGGTTTCTTGCATTTACAGTCAAGTCCCTTTGTGGTCCATTGTTTCTTGAGGTATTAACTTGGAAATTTAGCATGCGAGAGCCAAAGTTTGTCCATGGAATGGACAGGCACAAGGCCTTTATCAGCGAGGAAAAGTGGGAAAAAGAAAATCATTTGTCTGAGGCAATGATTAAAAGCAAAAGTCAAGAGAAGGTAAACCACGAAAAAGGAAAAGAGGGTGCTAGTTGAAATTTTCCTACGCATGACTCGGATCTCTTCACCATTAAATTTGTTGGAAGCTACACTTTTTTCCACTTTATGATATGGACCTTATAGTCTTATGATTTTCAAAGTTTTCAGTCAATGTGATTCATGATTAATATAATTGAAACCGTGTTAAATTTTGACTCCTTTTCTACTTGGACTAAATCCAAAAAAAAAAAAGAAAATAGAAATGATAAAAGCCATATGGCAACTTATCATATTTGTGTTTCTTTTTTTTTTTTTCAAAAAAATAAAACTTAACCACATAACTTTTCGAGTAATGAAAGAACCAGAAATATGTGCTTAAGTTTATATCTGGATGTGCCACATTCCAAATTAAAAAATCAGAGATGAAACTAACACATATTTTAAAAATAAAAATATAATAAATATCCTTTTATTAAAACTATTAGGATCGATCTTGTGTGAAATTGTTCTCTCTTTAGATAAGATGACAAACACTAATTGGTGGAACATGCACTGCTTCGGCTGCTGTGGTATGGTTACAAGAGAAACAGTTAAAACTCTTGATGCAAAGTGGAAAATGGCAAAGCGACTTGGTCTAGAAAAATAAGCCGAAAATCAACTCGTCCTATAAATGTTTCTTCATATTAATCCAAGAACAGCCACGCCAAATGAAGAGAAGAAATAAGCGACTACAGAGAGTGAACTCAAGGGTTGCAGATTTCCAAACAAAGCAAATAATATTTTTTTTACCAAACTCTTCCTCTTGTGTTAAAGAACGTACCGTTTTCTGAAAGGAATAATCATCGGGAGATTCATCATTTCAACTCAAAGAGTTATTACGTGTTTCTTAACCTTTTCAAGGATACAAAAACTTCCTTCACCTAGGAGCACCAAAAGAAGGTTTATGAATTTCATATTGATCCAAGTCTTATAGATGGATTTCATTATTAGGGTTGTGCATTTATGTTTACATCTTTTTTACAGCAGAAAAGCCTAAGGATTGTCTTACAAATTAGTTGCCCTTTATTTTGATTGCTCTGCGTGCTGGAGAACTAAGAAGTAAAACAGGGTTCGATGCCTAAACTTCAAATTTCAATGCATCAATGCTCCAAAAACAGAAGGCAAAATAAAAGCCAAAGCGCTTGCTCCCAAAATATTTGTCTTTTATGTACAGGTGCATATCTTGTTAGCCGAAGACCCTATAACGTATATTTAGAATTAGGGCTAAGAAATTTATAAGTGCTATCTGCAGGGAAAGCGATTGTTTGATGTGGAATATGGGATTGTGGAACCCAATCAAGGGGCTGGAACAAATTAAAAGCAGACTTTTTTGTTTTACAAAAGAAAAAAGAAGTAATTTCTTGGATTATACTCCATTGATAAGATTTCATGAGTTTTAGGTCAAAATCCTATGTTGAAATCTTGGGAATTTGATCATCTCCCATTTTCACTTCTTCAGTTGTCTCTTTTTCTTCTGGCAACTATGGTCTATGTATAAGCTTCAGCCCATTAGAAACTTGATCCAATAGTCATTGCCATTTACCCTAAGAATCAGGCCCATTTCTGTAATTGTCCGAGAAACAAACATCTACGCATCAAGCCCATTTCTCTAACCGGCTTTGTGTGCTACCGTCAATAAAAACCTCGGTCTGTCATTGTGCATTGCGCACCGTTTGAAGACTGACGAGCTACCATCTCCGGTTTAACTCAGTTCCGCGCAAGCGTTGCCATTTGCCAAGATTACCTGATTAATACCGTGCCATTTATATTGGTCTAACTCATGCACCAGGTGGGAGGTACGACCAATAAGGGAACTTTGTCTTCTCTAATCCAAGGCTAAGATGAAGATTCAAGAGCTGCATGGTATATATATTATTGCATCCAGAACGACTATGTCGACGTTCCCACCATTAATAAAGAAGAGAGGAAATTCATTCCCAATCGCCAAATTTTCAACTTGCTGCCATGAAATCAAGCACGGTTAAACTATTTATATTATCCACACAAAAAAACACTGATTATATATAAAAATAACAAACTGATTGATTTACCCTCTATCTTCACGTCCGTTTTATTTTTAGCTACACTAATATTTGTGTAAGGATAAAGGATCTACTTCTTGACTGTGCGGTCCAGGTTCCAAATAACTGCAAGAGATGGGAGTGAAAAAAAACAGGACTCCTGTCCGTTGATTACTGAAGCTGGCCTTCTGGCGTCCAACTCGACCTAAATGATGATGAGAAGCCAACTTTGTCGCTTTGTTTTTTTCCTTGTTGAAGCAACGCTTCCATGGCTTATTGGGAGAACTGTAATGGTTGGAAGAATAAGCCTAATTGCATTGCTGTAAGAGGTTTCGACATCTTACCTGTGGCATGAGCCGCGGGCACAATAACCTACAGAAAGGCCGCATATGGGATTAAGCTGAATCAGTCACAGGGCAACTCTCCTTTGGCAAGTCTGTGAAATGAAGTGCAACGCCGAGGAGTCCCCCTTTGCATAATTAATTACAGCAGCGATCACAATATTACCTGCCAATTGAGAGGTGCCCTTTGACTGGTTTGCTTATTGACTAAAGCCTCCCCATTCCAGTTCTTGCAGTGCAATATTCTTGCTTAATTTTGAAATCACTTCTGAATTTTACCTCTATCTCATTAGGATCTTTATAAGCACTTCCAGTGGGTTAAAGAAAGAGAATAAACCATCGAAGAATAGCATATGCTTGAAGGGTTATGCTATGGATATCCTCTTGAGGCTGCCTTTTTCTTGCCTTTTAGCTTCTCTGCCCTTAGCCTCTCGTCTCATAAGGGTTCAATGTAAGCATAGGAGAATATATCTTCTTCTACTCTTCTTTCTAGCTAGTCCGGTTGTGGTAGGTGAGAAGACTAAAAGGCAGAGTCGAGGGTAGATGCTCCTCCACAATGAAGATGGCTGAGCAACAGTAACCTTATAACGAGTTATATATAAAGGGCAGCATGTGATCCTTGTGTCATACTATTCTTTTACCTTTTCATCTGTTTTAGTCTTTTTTTCCTGTGTTTAAGTTCAAAGAGAGCAAAAGAGAATTTGGTTTGTGATTTCAATTATTTCTTCCCTAAGTAGGAAATCATTTGTTTGGATCCTAAAGTAGCATGTATTCACTTTTAAAAATTAGACAGTCGAATGAAAAATGTGTTAGGATTCCATCTCATGCTCAAATAAAAAAATAATCAAAAATTAAAAATTATAACATAATAGAATAATAAACTAACATTTAATCAGAAAAAATATCAAGTTTTGTAAGATCAATATTTGTATTTTTCATGTAATTTTTAAATTAGTTATAAGCATTCATAAGTTTAAGAGTTACTTGTCTTACTCTAGATATCTAAGAGCCAATTAAATCTAAAATATTTACTTCTTCATCTTCAGAATTTGTCAAGTCTTCTGTCACTCAAGTGTTTGGCTTCTAACAGTAATCTATACAGTGATCGAATAAAATCTTCTCAAAAATACAATTTTTGCTTGAGCTAGTAAGTTTTGTTTCTAAAACAAAAAGATCCAAAATTCTTGTCAAATTTTATTTTTGTCAAACAAAAGAAAACTATTTTTCTTATTATTTTATCAAACAGCTGAGAAGTAATTGGAGGCTTAGAGTTTTAATTTGCTAACATAATATATTTATATAGCCAAATTAATTTGTAACCCTAAATATAACAGTTGTATTTTAATTTACTTAAGTCTTTGTGAACTTAATTAATTTCTCACTTTATTTTGATCTCTTTCAATTAAGTCTAACTTAATTAATTATCTTTATTTAATCATAATCATGTCATTTAATGTGTGTGACCCATTAAGCTTCTAACATGTTGCCAATAAATATAAATCCTAATCACATATCAATTTGATAATTGATTTATATCTATAGATTATGAGCGGCATTTAGCAATATATCATGACCACTCAAATGTTAGAGAGTCAATTAAAAAATTTAACAAAGCCCTTCAATGATAAATCTCTCAATACAAAATAATTTTTCTTCATCAAATATTATGGATATGTCATTAAGCATGGTGTCTCCTTATGGTATTTCATATTAGTTCTCATAATTCATGACTAATTTTATGAATTTAAAAAACTAACTTTTCTCAAACTTATCATGCTTTGGCCAAAGACTTTGTACAAGTTAATCAATAATTGAGAACAAGAGGTATGCATCTTGTCATATCATTTGAGGTGATAAATCCTCTCTTGACCACTCATCCACTTTCACATGCTTCATAGCATACCCAAAAATACCCTGTTAAGGCATTTGATCGCCTCTAGACTCGTAGCGGTAAAATCAAAGTATGTCATTCCTCATATAAAATAACTTGATGTCTCAAGTCTAAAGACTAGTTGCACGATTATCACATGAAAATATTTTTCATAAATACTTGAGTGAAATACCAAATGAAATTCTCATAGTGGGTCATATTCAATGAACTTGTTCTTTAACAAGCACCTATATGTTATCCTTAAATATCCCATATACTTCAATCTAAGAGATTGATTACTTGCTTCTTAAGTAAGGAGGCTTAACATGTACTAATCTTTGAGAATTGTTAATGTCTTGTCTTGACAATCCAATGACCAGGAACAAATTTAGGAATATGACTTTAATGCATAGTGATCTCATAATTGTAACAATTTTATTTTAATGCAATAATAAAGAGTTATTAAGTATTGATAAAAACTTGACATAAGGAGCCGTATGCCATAAACAGCAACAAAAGCTACATACGCTGGCATTAATCTGACTTTTTAGCCAGTGATGCACATAAAGAGCTGGAATCCTTACACACCGTGCCTTCTAGGGAAACTTGCATGAGTTGGGCGGAAATATGCTAATTGAAAGCATTTCAATTGTTAAAGGATCCCTACCAAATTCCTCTGTATATGGATAGTTGTAGATGTAATAGTTGAGGATACTATGTTAAAGCATACGGTTCATTGGTTGGTATGCATTATCCCTACTTAAATAATAAGTTTCGAATCCCTCCTCTCCAATTAATTAAAAAAAAAAAATGCTGAAGCAGTCACAGGGCAACTCTCCTTTGGGAAGTCGTGGGAACAAATGCGGTTTCACGCAAAAAATTAATGCCGTAATAATTACCATTACTAGCCAAGTGAGAGGTGCCCTATGACTGGTTTGCTTACTAGCAACTTCCTCTGGCTGGATAGTTGTCTGGAATAGCTTCTAGGTTCTGCAGGTGACCTCTGAACTTCTTTTTTAAGCACTCTGACTGGAAGGGACAGAATAAGCCATCGAATGATCGAAGAGATGGCATATGTTTATGGGTTATACAGTGGATATGCTTTATGGCGCGGGCGCCTTTGATAGGACTTTTGGATGGCCTAAATTCCATCCTAGGCTTCTTTTTCTTACCCATATCAAAGGGTTTGTAAAATCTCTTTCCGGTAGCAGCATAATAGATTGTTCCGGTCTCTTAGTCGTTGCCTTTAAGGTGAGAAAAGGAGAAAGGTAGTTGAGTGCGGAGATTCTCCACCATGTAATTAAGGTGAAGAAGTTAAAGCAGCTTTAGAAAGTTTCTTCTATGTTTTCTCTTCTGAATTATTCTTTTTATTTTGCTTCCTGCTCGTTTGATGGCCTTGGTTGCCTTGATTCATTTTTCCCCTGTCCTTTTAGTGCCAAATTGTTTCTGCATAATATTGACTGTCAGGTTTTTTTGTTATGAATCTTAATACTTCTGAGCATCATTAAAAGTTTCTGCATAACATATCCGCAGGTGTAGACCACCTTATACTTAAGGTCAATTTGCAATAGCAAAAGAAAGTGTACCAGTTCAGCAAACACAAATTTAAGCCTGTCTTACCCTTTAGAAATGGCAGCTGAATACAAAGCAAAATGCTTATTATAGCATCAAAGAAAAAAGCAACCAAAGAGTTAAACATATGAGCCAGAATGGCTACAAGCCCATCAGGACTCAGTGTACTGCCTGCTAAGCTGCAACTAATTTTGCCCTTTGGTCCCCTTTTCCAAGAAATCGGCAGGACACACTGCTAAAGAATTCGTGTACAAATATTTATTCTACTTCTTCAAGAAATATCTCTCTTGAAGAATCCTCAGTCCCATATATCTGCACATCATAAGTTTATTAGAATACTCCTATTCTAAACAATTATCTATGCTAATAATCCTCAACAATATTCCAAATAAAAATTTTGCATTTCACCGGAAGAAAATATAATAAATTTTGCAAAATTAATGCGCTGTTGTTACCTTCCAAGCATCATAACGGTAGCTTGAGGATTAGTCCCAGGCGAGCGAGTAAATGTAGACCCATCTATAA